TAAATATAAATATATATATACATATATATATATATATATATATATATATATATATATATATATATATATACATATATTATTCTGACATTAAATCGATAATCTCTTATGACGGGAAATAGCAAAATATTACTAGAGCTAAACTGAAAGATAATATTCAATACTGCATACATTTATTCCTTCAGACGTAATATTATTATCTATCTCACGATCTTGGAATCTTCATTTATCTTGACGTGTTATTCATTTATGTCGCAATATGTCTGCACATATGTATGTGATTAATAACTGTGCAATATTTATGTGCGCTCGGGCAATATTTATATGATTAACATACGTTTACAATAGAGACAATTTGTCGTGTCTTGGGCTGCCAAGATCAATATATAAAAACCATTTTTGCCCGAGAACAATCGTATTTTTGACAGCTCTCAATTGTATCGCGAAGGGAATTTTTATGTCGAGTTGTAATGCTCCCGTAATAGCTGAAGTTGACGTTCGATTATACAAAGCGGGAATACGTCATCTGTGTTATATTTATACTGTCACTTGCACTTCCTCTGAGTAGACACGACGATTCACTGCATGTAGTATTCTCCTTAGTTTCGGGTATTACGCCTGATTTACAAGTAGATAGACGTGGAAGTACCGTAGAGATATATCCGCCTACCTGTGTAACGCCACGTTCTAATCACAACGGTTTAGATAAGACGTCTCGCGAGCCCGGCGACGCTCAAAGCGGCGGTCGCGTTGCTCGCGAAAATAAAAGCTCCGGCTCCGTATAATGTCGCAATACTTAAACGTCACCCCCGCGACATGAGGCGAAGCGTTGCGTGCCTCACGACGACGACGACGACGACGACGACGCTACATGACGTGACGGTCGCGCTACTTTTTTCCTTTCGACATTGCGATACACTAATGCCAAGCATTAAAGCGAGCAATCGACTGAGGAAGCTTGGGATCGATTGTAATCGTTTCCTTCCACGAGATGGAAAATAATATATGAAGCAATGAAGAAAATTATAAGGAAGGAACTCTCTGTGATCTTCATATAAAGTAAGCGAACGTGTCGTTAATGGAATTGCGCGTTTTATTACGACTGACGAAAACAAAAATCTATCTTTATATAAAAATCAAAATGTTGCAAGTTTTGCTACTCGTACGAATGACACTTTCTTAGTTTCTTTTTTTAAGGACATATTGCCCATATAGTCCCTGCAAAAAGTCATTGAAAATTAAAAATATAGTAATATTTATATTTTTTATATAAAAAATATGGTATACCTAGTTGAATAATAACACATTTTTACTTTAACATCATATTTTTATAGTTTTTTTACTTTATATTACTACTCTAACATTTATCTCTGAACCAGAATAACACTGCGTACATTACTTTAAATACTTAAAGTACATGTATATGAAATTGAGATTTTTGTAATTATTTTTTAATTATTTTTTTTTACCAAAAAATAACAATATATTTCTATATAAAATCTTAATCATATATTTCTATATAATAGCATAGTTTAAAATATTTCCAAGTGGCAGGATGACGTCAAATGACATGATATATAAGTATTATTAACGTTAGAGATTAATGGCTCTGCTTAAAAAATATGTGATAGAATTACATAAGCAAAATCTATGTAACTGAATCGTGTTTTTGGTAAAAAAAAAGGATAAAATTACGTAGAAAAACATGTATATTCAGATAAATATTTAATCTCTAAAAGCAAGCTACGTTGTAAGCAAAGTTATATAAAACGAAAGAAATTAATAACTTTGTTACATGAGCTGAAATGTGAGAAATAGGAATTTCCAATAGAAATGATAAATTCAGATAAAGTCACATAGTATTTCAATAAAATTGAATTTCATCGGAATGAATATATTTTTATCAACCCTTATCTTTCTGATTTTTTAAGCAGGGGTGTTATTAGAATGTCATTTGATATCATGTTTGTTGAGCTTATACTTCAAAATAGAATAACATTTGATCTGGACTTTGAATCAACGACAAATTGTTTGTAATCACTTTTAGGTGCAATATAAATTAATATCTAATTTTTCTAAAATTTTGAATTATTTTTTAGATATGGGCAATACACTTTAAATCGCAAAAAATGTCTCACTCTCGTCTCTATTGAAGGTGACACCGTCAGATTGATCTACGTGTTATTTTTGATAATTCGTCGAAACAAGACTCGGAAAACTTAAATAGTGCCATCAATTCCGAAATTCCGCGGAACGCGCGCACGATGTTCGACCCAAGATTTCGATATCCTCGTGAGAACCGTATTTCCGTTAAAGCCGCCGCGCTATGTGGGATACGTCGGTCCTCTTTAAGCGCCGCCATCGCGATTTGTATTGTTACAACAGAAAGCTGGCTCGCCGTTCGCCGATGTAATTTATTATTCTGTATCTTCTGATCAGGGCCTGGCTGCGGGGCGCTATCGTGCTGGTGTTTCTACTAGGTCTGACCTGGACATTCGGGCTCCTCTACTTGAACCAGGAGTCCGTCGTGATGGCGTACATCTTCACCGTATTGAATAGTCTCCAGGGGCTGTTTATCTTTGTGTTCCATTGCGTACAGAACGAGAAGGTAAGGGAATACGTTGGGGCGCAGAAGTCCGCCTTGATTTAGATCGCGCCGGCTACAACGCCGGATATGTTTCCCGGAGAGAGAAATACAGACAACAAAATTCGGTCGTTCGAAAAGATATGTGCTACGGTTTTTACCAACATAAGAATGATCTCGCGACATTCTCTGCGTGAAACACGGTTTGATTTCGCGTCGACACACAGTTTCTCCGCGAGGCTTGATATCTCTCCTTTACCCTTCTAAGACTTCTTTTCGAGGTAACTCGCGAACGTAGAATGCGTATGTCTTACCTGTGTTTTGTTGCCTCGGAAGTTTGTGCGTCGATTTTCTTACAGTGAGATATGCGAGTTGTAATGAGTCTTTATACGCCGTTTCCGTTTTTATGTATGAATTCTTCATGTAAATCTTCCCGAGGTTCCCAGAAATTTTCTAGCGCATAAGTTTATAACGCATTATATTGTCGATTGTTGTATGCAATCGATGCTAATTAATATCATCATCGAGACGATAGTCATGTTAACGATAACGTCGTATTGTTTCGCTCACGAATATAAGTGCAGAACATGGAGATGGGAAAAAAATGATCTGTTTAATAAAGTGCTGTGGCAATACAAATAATTGGCGTTTATTTCGCGCGCTTTCGCCACCCGTAGTTCGCTTGTTATGGTTTTTGACTTTGAGAGAGTTTGACTTTGTTTCTTTTTTATTGCCACCGTGAGAAGCACCGCAGTTATTCTCATTTCTCGTTAAAATCGGCACCAGATTTGCTCTCCAATCATGGATCGCACTATATTCTCACGAATCGCTGCAGACGGCCTTCTCAATTTTGCCTGAAGGCGTACATTACGAGCTACAATGTAACAATCGAGGGAGTGAAGTAAGCATGTGTAGTACATTTTCTTCAAATATAATAATGATTTTATTAAATTAAATTTCGTATAAAGTATCTCTGCGAAATACTGAAATGAAAAGCTAATTTTTATGGATGGAGGGAATTTTATAGTGAAATATATTATAGAATTTCGTAACCGAGAAACTATCTCTCTCCTCTCATTTTATATGTAATGCTATTTACATTTTAGAAGCTGAAATATATGATTTAAAAAATTACGACGTTTCTAACAAAACATAGTAAAATTCCAGCAAAATTTATTTGTTCTATGTTTCTTAGCAAGATAGACTTTATCGACAGTCTATTTCTACATTACAGGAAATATAATAAAATTGAAAAGAACTTATTTGAGCAAAACTATAACATTCTCTCCGTATGGGAGGTCTTGGTAACAGCTTGGCATTCTGTATTTGAGCAAAATCAGTTCATACGAATGCCAAAGTCTATAAAGAAGAAATGTAGAAAGATTTCTCACATCTATTTTTCATTTCCTCGACGGCTGTTCTCGTTACGAGGCCGTCTGCAATCTCCGCGAATTCAGACCGGGAACGATGCGCCCGTCGCATCTCGCACGCTATCTCGCACGGACCTTAGTTCTTTCACGCACCGTTAAACTCGTTTCGTTGGGTCGGGTGGGCCTCTGTTTCGCTCTTGCAGGTGAGGAAGGAGTACCGGAAGTTCGTCCGCCGCCATTCCTGGCTGCCGAAGTGCCTGAGGTGCTCGAAGACGGTGACGGGCGGCTCGGCCGGCTCCACCGGCGGCAGCGGCGGCGCCGGCGGCGCCAACGGCGGCAAGGACTTCGCCTCGCACAACACCTCGTCGAATCCGTCGGCCCCGACGACCGACAGCTCCGGATTGTCGCCTCACGCGGCCAGCAACGCCAACCATGTGGGTACCAACGCCGGCGCCACGTCACCGCCGAACAATCACAACAACCTGACCGCCACCTGTAACAATACGAATCTTTCGATAAACGTGAACCTGAACAATTTGTCGCTGAGGTCGCCGGTCGGGGCACACCAGATGCACATGATGGCACCTAGCAACCACAATAGGCATCCCGCTCAGCAAGGTATCCAAACGCCGCTTATACACCAAACCGAGATACGCGGATAACGAAGCGAAGCGGAGACAGGGAGCTGTTCGCTCCGCGGTAACAGTGACCGATATTCCAGAAGTTGGGGGATTTATTGTGTTTTATAGCTTAACGTTCTCGCAGTCATCCTTGCATATATTGCGTGGATTTCTTTTTATCTTCTAAGCTCGGTGCTACGGATTGCGGTGGACGCTAACACTAAAATGCCCAATAAAGTTGGGATTTTTTTTTATTGTCGTCATTTTTATTTCTCTCGTGATTTAAAAAAAAGAAATATATATCGTCACTTTCAATTATTTTCAAAGTAGAACACGTTGAAAAGAAAACGGAAGAAATCGATAATATTGATGAATTATTTTATGATTTACTTTTAATGCCCAAGGAGAGTCATTTTGATTCTTTATTTGAATATCAGTGGTATAAGGACAGTGTACAAACAACATTTTTGTAATCTTGGATCATACACAATTATAACAGAAATTACTATATATTTATTTAAGAATATTATGTATGTTTGACTTTTTAATACAAAATTGTTTAAATTATTTAAATGTTTTTTTATATTGTGTACCACATGAATCGTCAGACTTATTATTTTTATGGTAATTTGTACTGCAATTTCAGCATAGTCCAGTTTTAAAATATTGTAAAAAAAATATAATTTAACATGACTTTTACTACGATATTTTTTCCATATACTAATTATAGAAAGCAAGTGAATAATAATAATGATGTACCTTTCTCTAGGAAATTATCAATTTGAAAAAAATATGAAAATTGTGGTAATTTGTTTACAATATACAAAATAGCTATATTTTGCAATTATATTCTTAGTATGTTTAAGAGTTATTATTTATACGAGTAATAAAGAATCAGAGTTTTGAAATATATTAGGAATCGCAGGAGTCAAAATGATTCTTTTGGGCACGCAAAAGAGGTTGTCGTTCCTGGACGTTCTAATGTTAATCGAATTAAAGTTTATTCTTGTAATTTGTAAATATGTATAACAAAACAGCGTGAAGTAATATATGTAAGTAAGATGATTGAGAGAATGTGGCATTGTTTTAGAAAGGATTAGAATTTTTTTATGTAAGAGAGGCTATTAGAGGAGAGGAAATCCAATTAAATCTGATTTAGAACTAAAAAATCAGTTAAATTTTAGTTGGACTCGGTATTTGCAAAAATCCGATACACTTCAACTGTCATGGGAATATTGGTTACTGCATCTTTCCGCGGAGCAGCCGCGAAATTGAAGTAGGAGTCAACAAGGGGAACGTGCGTCTTCCTCCCCCCCTCTCACTTTTTATTTCATAATACAGCAATGACGGTGCAATACTTGGTTATCGCGAGGAGTGTAATCAATCACACTTTCCAACATTGTACAGATAACGTCAGACAAGTATATGTATAACAAAGAATACGATCCATTAGACGCTACAAATACTTTGAAGCACCGTATGAACCAATTCATGGCTTTTCTTTAAGCGCTTCAAAGCGTTTTTGCAGCGTCTAATAGATCGCATCTAAAATCGCGTATATTCTTGAGGAATCAGACTGATTCCCGAGTATCGAGAAATTGTATTTCTTTCTTTTTCTCTTTCTGTCTCTCTATTTCTCCCCCTTTTTGACCTCCTCTGTACATTCTTTTTTCGCTCTGCAAGTAACACAAGTATGATCCGTCTGTTATTAATTATTGCTCACTTTTTGCCTGCCGCTCAGATTTCAAGCCTGCCTTCCCTCAAGCTTGTTTACGGCACGACCGAAAGGTCGCCATGATTAGTTACCGTTTTTCCACGCAATTCGTAGTTTCTGTCTATCTTTCTCGATTTTCTCAGCGCATATAAATAGATGGTGGTTCGTGTTTCAGTTACAATTTTAACGTAAAACGTAGCCGTTCGGTTCACAATGTCATGCTTATAGCGAATCCAATTTAACTCGATACAACAGAAAAAACACGTCCTCTTTTCTTTAACATTTTATACTCAATTTTTTGCAGGATCGCGATACAAACGAGTTCTGCTATAATTGAAGGTTTTATTACCTTTGCATATAAAAATTAACGTACATTCAAGGATTTTTATTTCATAAAAACGATGTACAACAATGTAAAGTGATACAATAACATGTACAATGCTCTGATAAATACCAATATTTTTTTTCGAAAATTCTCCAAAACATAGGCAGAATCGATAGTGAGTTATTATGGCCGTATAGAAAAATTTTATTCTTTGAAAAAAACAGCTCTGAAGCTTGTATTAAGTGTTAAGCGCACACCTGACTTTAACATTCGAAACCGACATGTTCTCAAAAGCTTTTTTTGTGTTATCAGCAAGTCACTTCAAAAACTGATTCACAGTACGACGGGTTAAAAGGCATTTAACGAACCGTTCGGCTCTTTCGACCCTGTAGTGCTCAGAGAGTCGTAGAGAATTGGCCGACAAAAATAAAGTGAGGAGAAGAGAGAGAAAGAGAGAGAGAGAAACTAGCGGAACAAAAAATGTATTTGAAAGAGAGATTGTTGAACGTGCTCATGTACGCTATTGTAGAACAGACTGTGGAGAAACGCTAGCCCGAGGAAAATATTAATATTAAAAATTCCCAAAAATATAAGAGTTATATAACGTATGAATATGAGTTCTTTTTCCTAAAAATGAATTTCGATTTTCAGTATTGATCGTTGCAGCTCCCGCGCTGAGACTTAATCTCAAATTAAAATTCTCTCGTAAAATTTGATAGAGATATTCTATTCAATTCAAGCCCTGTATACTTTTTTCACTCTTTAATTCCGCGTATACTTACAACCAGGTTTTTCCAGGCCTTTTCCAGCTAAAAAGTCAATTTGAGATGTGCGAAATGAAATTTCCGAGTTTGTAATATAAACTTTTTATTTAAGATTACACAAAACGGGAAATTTTCCGTCAAACTAACGTTTCTCCACGACTCACTCTGTATACTATAAAAGAGCACATATCTAAGAAATAAAAAATATTTATGTAATGGGTACTAATAACGTATTTATTTATACTAAAATAAAATATTTTGCGTATAAGAAAATATACGTTTTCTTAAAACCTTAGCTTTTCATGAAATTGTTTATTCTACTTAAATAAAAGAATTTAGACTTGAGTAAATATACTGTTAGTACCCATTGAATAAATATTTTTATTTTTCAGATATTTTTTCTCTCAGTATACGGCTGTAAGAATTTTAATAGAACGAAATTCTCTAACTGGATCGTCGATTAATATCAAACGTATCGTTTTACGCTTGTTAAAGAGGTAACGAGAATCGATGCTTCTTCTTTCTGATCTCAATTTAATTCGAGCGCCTCGTTAATACGACCTGGTTGTACTTCCAATTAAGGCTGTCTCTCTCGACATCGTTCAGTATTCCTTATCTGAAATATCAAGTAACGGATAACTGCAATCTTTTGAGAATCTCGAACAGAAGCACCGAATAATTTTGAGTGTAACAAACCGGGTAAATTAAAATGTCGTACTCGATAAATCAATTAATTTCAAACGGTTCAAGAGTCTCTTTCGCGTTCTTTCTCTCTCTCTTCTTACCTTTTTTTCTTTTCTTTCTCTCTCTCACTCTCTTTCTTAAGAGATGAACTCGGCAGATGAGACGTCCTTTCCAATATTACCTATTCGAGATTACGCTCGATGTGTCCCCCATTCTGTAAATAACGCGGCGGAAGGCAGGCACAGCACGAACACAACTCGAATTCGCACTCTCGCGAGCACGCTCGCCCGCAAGACCTCCTACTAACAGTGGTGATTTCCGTGCTTCTTATCTGGCCTCGGGGTTTGGTGTAACGCGGTTGCTGGCTACTTTGTACCCCTCTTACGCCCCCCCCCAACCCGCTCCTTTTCTCAGCGCGAGTCGCACGATTTCGTGCGACTCGCGCCATTCATTTCAGATCTGCCGGAGTGTCAATGAAAGTCTCTGTAATCAGGTAAAAGACGGTACACGCACACTGCGATTTCACGTGGAAATCATCGAGTACAATCGTGGATTCGTAACATCAGTTACATCCGCGCAGTCGTGATTTACGATTGCGCCTCTTGCAGCTGCGTTGTATCGACACCCGTCGTTAACCCTTTTGGTCATCATTTTTGACATTTCGGACGAGTGTTATTTCGTCGACAAGATGAGACGATTAGTCTTCCGCTACAATCGATTTTGGCGATATTAGAGGCGATATTAGAAGACGCTCACTAACGATCGATATCACTCGTATCGCTAGTCGTTCACTGACAGAAAATATATCTAAGAAATTAAAAAAAAAAAACATTTATTCGATGTGTACTATATAAAAATACATTCACTTATATCAATAGAAAATATGTTTTGAATAAGAAAAATACAAGTTTTCAGAAAATACAAGTTTTCTTAAAACTTCAGCTTTTCATCAGAGAGAGCAATTATTTCTAAAATAGTTAAATAATAAAGTTATAAAATAGTTGAATAAGTGTGAATTTAAATAAACATGTTATTAGTACCCACCGAATAAATATTTTTTTATTTTTTAAATATTTTTTTATCTCAGTATATTTGCAAAGAAATTATCGAGTCAATTTATTATAAAACATTACATATTACATAACTTGACGGGAATTATATTACTACATCATTTTCACAAAAGTAAAATTTTTATCTCTGTACAAAATTAAAAAATTGGTGAAGTGTAACTTCCACAAACGTTTCCATAAAATCAGCAAATGGCAGTAAGACGATCTAGGACTGAAAGGGTTAATCGCGACGGAATAATGTAAAAACGTAATTTAGTTTAATGATTATCTCATGCTGTTTACATTTTAATACGCATTACCGACCAGATCGTTCCTCCACGACGAAGGGCTTTAAACAAACGCACTTTCGTCGGCGATAGGGAAGGTATACGTTTAGAAAGATTCGTAATGTACCAGAGAGAGCGCACCCCTTTTTTCCTCTCTCAACTTTAACTAGACACGCGAAGGGCGGAGTACGAAGGGATGCACTCTATGTAGGCACTCACACGTCGCGCCTCACGTCGTTTTGCTCTCTTGCACTTCACGGCACTTCCGTATTCCGCCTGGATGCGCGTCCTCGAGTAATTAAGTGGTTTTTTTCTCTACCTCTGAACGACGGCCGATCGATCGATCGAAAACGCTTTGCCAAAGATGCGATTGTTCGCAGTGGAAATGCGTTTCTTTCGAATCGAATTCGCCGACACATTTCACACGCTGAAGAACGCGGCATTTAATCCTTCGCATGCGCCACGCCCGCGCTATCAGTCGACCCACAAGGCCACGAAATCACGGGTATTTTTATAATGTATGGAGCCCCAGCGATTGCCGTCGCTGCGTTGTTTGTTGAGGTTTGAAAATTTTATATTTATTTTCCTCGATTCAAACGTAGAATTTATTGCTTCAGATAAAATATTGAAAAAATATATTGTTCGAATGTTTCATCGATGCGACGAATAGAGATCGACTTGACCTCGCTTAAATTTTCGAAAATTTCTCTCGCTAAGCTCGATTACGATAATGTGATGAGAGTTAAAATAGAAGATAATCGGATTGGTGCTTCAAGTGCGAAGGGTTAAAAGGCGTGCGAATGCTCGCTCAGGCACTACTCACTTACACGATCAGCCACTTAATGGAAAATGACGAAAAAGGAAAAAGGAAAGAAAGGTGTACGGGCGAGGAAAATTCGCGCGAAGCGATCCGCTACATCTGTCACACCTCCACCGCATCACACATGCTCATTCACCGGCCACTTTCGCTCTCTGTCTCTCTCTTATTCCTCTTATCCGCTAGATGCGTCTTGCTGATTTAGCGTCAGACTGCATAGCCACGCAAGGTAAAGTATAGAGACAATTAGGTCACCTAGACCTAAGGTGACTATTCGATAAGAAGACAGCGCAGTACAGTTATCCTTCTTATGGCCGAAGAAATTTCCACACAAAGAAATCCCATCACATCCCCGAGGATTCGACTAGAGCCCTAGATTTACAGCGAGGCAACATTGAGACTCGATATATTGAAAGTCGTCATTTTGTATACATAAAGTTAATCTCAATAATTACACTAAGTAGGAGTATTCACCTCATGATTTGAAGTTTGAATTAACTTGTTGATGTGATTTTGCACATCAAAAAACATGTAAGTGATGATACAAGATGAATGTCCCAATTAGTGACCGTGTCACAATTTGTGACAATTGTATTCGTTTTTTTACTGCAATACTATAATCAGTTATTACATCCATACTTACCATAAACATGTTTTTATTCTAAATTTTATATATTATCAGTTATAACATGTTTTGTATAAAATAAAAAATAAATAAATAAAAATTGGGTCACACTCATCTTACTAAAAATATTTAACAAAAATGTAACTTTTTACTTATCGGAATATCATGTGCTAGAGTTCCTCTAGTCAGAGTTAGAACAAAGCAGGATGATTCCTGGTTGATCTGCATTCTATCCGCCATTTTTAGGTGCGACGTGAATAGAAGTGAGAAAGAAGCTCTATGAAATAACGAAGCACACTTTTTTATTATTCACTCACTTCCTCTCTACAAATAGCGGACGATGACCTAATTCTGACTTGAGGAATTCTATCATATATTCATTAGCTGCTATGGAAATATGGCACCTGGACTTTACGATTCAGATGAAACGAAACTTTTCAGTCACCTTTCTGTGAATCTAAGGCCTGTATTAATAGTCGTTACTTGAAACTCTTCTCAAGTGAGATACCCAGTTCAGAGTTAGAGTTTTTCAGTTGAACCGCAATTACAAACATAATATCACAAATAACAATTCAACTGAAAAGCTCGGATCTGATTCCAAATAAAAATCTGAGTGTCTCATGTGAAACCAATTTCTCAAATAACGACTATTAATATGTCTCTAAGACTCCGAACTCGACGATACCTCTACTCCTTGAAAGTTTGGAAACTACGGAGAGTTTTTAATATAAATATCATACTTATGATATCTCTCGTCCGAGTTTATCGCGTCTCGAATATCCGAATTATCCCTGATGTTTACATGAAAACGTGACAAACTTTCTCGCTCGACTTCCTTTCCACTCGGGGATCCTTCGACCCAATGGCCGCCGCCGCGAGCTTCCACTGTCCTTCGCGCGCCCCAAGGACAATTTATCCGAATACACCGAGCGCGGCAGTCTTTTTCGACTGCGTGTCGGGTCGTAGGTTTCATTTCGAGCGGAAGTCCGGCTGTCCGGCGGTCGCGTGACTCGTCCCTATAGAGTCGCGAAACAGGTGCAATCACGTGTCGTCCTCGCACAACAAACACGGCATGTCCATCCGTCCGTCAAAGGGCGGCGGGAAGGAAGGAAGGAAGGAAGGAAGGAAGGAAAGTTCGGTGGGTGGAAAGAGACCGCGACGAGACCGTCGGCCGCGTGCGTGCCGACGTCGCGTATCTCAGGCCGCTACGTCGTAGATTCGCTCCCGCGCGAGTTAAATCCGTTCCGCTTCCGGTAACGCGCGAGAGAGATACCGCTGGATGTGCACAGCTCACGGCCCATATCTTCTCCCGCACGTGTTCGCTCGTGTCGCTCGCGCCAAATCTACAGCGCGCCCTCTCCTCCACCCCGCATCCAGACGATTATGTATCCTAATTGGCGCACGAGGTCTCTCGTTCCGTCGCTTCATCGATCGCGACGCTCGGCTCTTCCGGTCCTTCCTTCCGGCCCCAGTAACTTCAATCGGTGGAACGCGTACGCGACGGGGATAAGACGTTGTAGTTCACGACGTAACCCTCAAACGAAGCCTCTCTCTCGAAGTCCTCCTACGCTCGGGTGTAAGGTGAAGTACCATTAGCCTAGACGCTAATAATACTGGTACCTAACTTTGGATTTTAATTACTTTGATCTTTCAATATGACTGTTTAAACTTTCGGTACAGAATAAGGGTGTTCCATGAACTAACTATACATACTAAGAGAGCGTGTTCCTAGAGTCAATTTAAATAGGATATTACTGAAAAACCTATGTATATATATATTGTACATTTTGAAAGTTTAGATATTCATATTTAAAAATTAAAACAATCAAACCGTCCAGATTTAGTTATCAATGTTATTAATGTCCAAGTATTGGTCCTTTTACTTAAAATCTTGCGGATTTATCAATCAGTACTCTTGGAAGCATTCCAGGTTGATTCATTTAACCCTTCTCTCCATCCCCTATCCCGCTATCCCGGTGGAACGAAGTCACTCGTAAAGGATCGGTGCGGTTGCTTGCTATGTGAGAAACCCTTTGTTTACTGAATCGCATGATGATGTACGTCGAGTCTACACAGAGAGAATTTTATAGTAAATATTACTGTAGAATTATATGATTGAGGAATAGGTCGACCTTCTGCAGTAATTTATTTTCTCATTTTATATATGCTATTCATATTTTGGAAACTATGCTTCATATTTTGGAAGTGTACTTCAAAAAGTTTGCTATGTTCCTAGCGGAATTTGTTATCCCTGCTTTAAAGATTTGATGGAGTTACATAAAAAAATCTACATAACTGAATCATATATTTGATAAAAATTAAAATAAATATAAATATTAAATCGTTAAAAGTAAGTTACACGTGATATAAAATGAAATAAATTGACAATTTTTTTATATGAGTTGAAATATAAAAAATTGCAATTTTCGATAGAAATGATAGGTTTGAATCAAGTCACGTGATATTTCAATGCAATTTTTATATATTTCTATCAATCCTTATCGGGTTTTTTGAGCAGGAGTGTTAGCAAGATAGACAATCTATTCCTGCACCACTAGAAACATATTAAAACAGAAAAAGGATTTAAATATGAGAGAAAAGAACAAAACTATAATATTCTCTCCCCGTCTACTACGCGGATCGTCTGATATTGGCGCGTTTCGGGTCCATACTTGCCAGTCGTTGACGTCGGCGATTGCGCGTAAATCGTCACTCGACCGGGTTAGACGACATCAGTCCATCCACACGCATTAAACACTGTATCACGAGCGACAGCAGCGACAGGGCTGGCCCTGCTCATCGGTAAACGAAGGGTTAAAGGGGGAACGGCGGATTGGTTGCTTTTGCAGTACTTGGTATCCGGTCGAAGCTGGGCGATAGTCGATAGGCAGCCGGCGGTAACGGTGCCAGGTGAACCCTCCTCGACCGAGACTCACATCGTGGCCACCCTGCCGTACGCACGTCACGCCTTCTTACCCTCAGCTCCCAATATCCCCAAATCTGCCACCGCCACTTGGGGCCACCTTAACAAAAACCTCATGTGGAAGGTAACTAATTCACCGCTAAACTCGCTCGCTCGTTCACTGTGTTTCTCACCCTCGCTCGCGGAGGGGCGGCTCTATGAGTGTGAGGCGAACTCGGCGCTAACATATTGAGATTTTTATGATATTCTCGATCGAAGGTCGAACACACGGATATTGCTGCGCGTGAGCGTGGTGAGTCGCGACGCAATTTTTTCACGCAGTTGATTGGAGCGATCGAGACGTTCGGATGTGGGGGTGGTATAATTTGCTTTTGTTATAAACACGGTCTCCCCTAAAGAGAAAGGTGCGTTTCATTGAATCGAATTATTGAAACGTAAATGATGAGAGAGAGTGCGTGTTTACAATTTCGCGTTAATTTGATGTATTAATTAATTCTTCAATTATTCCGACTTTTTCATTATCGAGGATGGTTTCAGTGTAATTCCAATTGTATGTTATAATTCGATACGCGCGCAAACATTTGTCGCAACTTTTAATTAATGAAGAATAATTAGTCTCGTCTGGCATGCGCGTTTTTATGAAAAGGTGCTGCTTTACTTTCGGGCAACGCTCTTCTCATTCATAATTGAACCGCGCGGCGCATCCGCCAAATGTTTCGAAATCATGATGGGTCTTCGTATTTGCGAGCGGCTGTGTTTGCCGAGCCGCTGCTCCCGCATTGACGAGATCCTCGCTAAATATGATCTTTACGTTCGCAAATAGCCTGCGTTTACAAGAATTAACCGTAGTCTTTGTGTTCTCGCGGAGGATCGCGCATTTACAAAGATCATACTAATCGAGGATATAGTTCACGCGTTCGCAAATACCTCGGCAACCACCATCCTCGTGTTTGCGAGCATCCCCGCTATCTCTAGTGAGAATCTCGCTGATTACGACTTTGATATTTGCTTTATTACAACACGGTTCTCTCGTATTTATAAAGACGTCGCTAGACTGTGTGTACGCAGGGCCTCGCGTTGAATATAACTTTTTTATACCGATGCTTTCGCCAAAACTAGAGCCGTCTCCGCTGATCGTGTCTTGTCTTATGGTCTCTCGCTCTCTGTCTTTCTTTCTTTTGTTTCTGCATGGTGTGCGGTATTCATTTTCACTCAGCACAGCACCTAATCACTCTCACGCATCCCAGCAGCGAGCCCAATCCGAATTTTGAGCATGGAGATGCGGACATATCTTGTCGGTGTGTAAAATGAGATTATTTTTCGAGTTGGCGACACGGCTTGCGTCATAGTTTTTCGTCTGTGATCTTCCTCCGGTTTGCTTTGCTTTTACATATCAATGTCTTGAGACTGGAATAATTGGCCTCATCCTGTAACTGAGAAGTAAATGAAAAGAAATAGATCTTGTACATTTAGGTATAATCCATCTTTTCTTCCATCTTTGAGTTACAAAACAGTGCAAAATTTGTTGTTGCTTCATAAGATATTGACATGTAATTACCTTAAAAAAAGACAAGAGTTTACCCCAAAAAAAGTATAATCTTATTTTTAGCGAAATTCTCGTATATATGGCCTCAGAAAAATTCAAAACCCAAAAGGAAAATATTCTAACTTCCAAAACAGAAAGAATTCCAGTTGTAGGGTACTGTTTCCTGTAATTTCACAATCTAAACAAAAAACTCTTACAGAAAAACTATTCTTCTAATGAAGTAAACTATATGATTTCGAAATCTATCAAATATTCCAACTTTTGTTCTCCATTTGAATCAAAAGGAAAATATTTACTCGAAACAAAATGTCTGATTTTTAAAAGAAATGTCAATTAAGAACGAGACTTGTAGATAAAAGATATCTATAATTTTAAGAAATTTTTAATTAAGAAATTATTGTACTTAGAATATTCTTCTTTTGGTTTTAGAACCTTAAAGCTATATAGAAGAAAATTTCGATAAAGAGATAAGATTATATTTGTTTTATATATTTGTGAAAATACGGTGATATTATTCAAGTTATTTCACTAAAATAGTATCAAAAGTAACTGTTACATGTTGCTCGCAAAATATGCAAGTGGAATTGCAAAAACCTTCGTGACATGATTTTGTGAAGAATCGGTCAGCCGATACGTATATTGATCGAGGGATTTTTTAACTTCTGTCCTATGAATGCTGCACAGATATAAGAAACAAATAAATAAAATAAATACATATATATTTTTTTATATTTTTACTTTTAGCAACGTTTGTTGAATTACTGGCATGCAGCGAAATAGCGGTGATTGATGAGCGAAGTAAAACCAGAGGAGACGGTAGATGTTATGGAATAAGCTATGTCGCTCTACCGACCCTCCCCCTGCCCCTATCTCTTTTTTTCTTATTCTGATGCGCGTCCGCGGCGCAAGAACAAATGCGAATACGCGGTTATGACGTTTTATATCAGAACACAGTGCTCCATTTATCCTGTTATGAATTGTGTGTAGCTCATCTTGTGTGCCTTGGTTTACGTTACGTTACGTGTTAATTTTCTTTTTTGTACTGTAGAACACGAGGAGAGGAGGATGATTAACCGTGAAATACGGTCCTCGTGCGACACGAGCGGGATTTTCTCGTTCTTCTCATGCATGCGGGATCATCAATTGAGCCGTTTCATTTGAAAGCGGCCATAAATCGAGTGTAATCAAAGTAAAATAACAAGAAATGGAGATGAAAGCGCAGATACATTCTCGTATCAGCAAATATTCTTGAGTTTGATAATGTGTGATTCATGAATAATTCTCGTCCATATACATATAGGAGAGCCCGCGCATTGTTGAAGGAGGGTTGAAATCAGCGTTAGTAAGAGAGGACAATAGAGAGTAAGATGCTTTCCTTGTCTAATCGTCCAGATTAGGAAAACAAAGGAAGAAACTTCATTGAACGAAGATTACTCATAAAAATATTTTATCAAAACTGGTGAATCAGAGTACGTGATGTTTCCTTGTACGTTTCATTCTTGCTTTTGTTTCTCCTACATCGCCATCTCCCAGATTGTGTGACAGAGAAAGCATTTAACTCCAATTTTCTATATCTTTGTCCTTCAATCTTGTCATCAGCCGTTCTATAAGGGAGAATTCATATCTTGGCAGAAAAGCAGGAAGCAGGAAGGCAGAAGCCACTTAAAGCTTGATCTACAATATGCTCTTTGCATTCTGTTTCTTGTCTTTTATCTTTTTCTGACTTAAAGCTTAAGATTTGAGTCAGAAAGAGATAAAGAGAAAGAAGCAGGAAGCAAATAACACATTATAAATCAAGCTTAAAACTCTCGCTGGTAGAAAAGCACAGAAACTGTCGATTACCACCTGTCCAGCACGAGACGTTCTGATTGGCTTCTGCCTTCCTGCTTTCTGCCTTTACGAAGGTACGAATTCTCCTTAAGAGTGCGCAGTCTATTCTATAAGTCTATGGTCTCGTCTCATCCTCCTCCCTCGCGCACCGACTGACCGCTCCAACTAACGACTCTAACGTACCGCATCAACTCTCTCCGCAGAACATTTCTTTTAAATCCTACTCCCGTGATTCCGGACACGGCGGCTCCGAGCAGGAGGACTCCCCACGGACGCACAACACCTTGACGCTCGGCCACTCAGGCAGGAGACGCGGACCGAGCGACGCCGGCGAGATAAACAGCACTGGCAGCAGGACGACCGGCGGTAGACGCGCCGCGATGCCGTACAATCACACATACACCGAGATCGTGGACGGTCGCGGGGGCGGTGGCGGCAACGGCACCGGGCACCATCAGCTGCACGCCCATCACGGCCAACACGTGCATCTGCCGCGCGGTCTCGCCAACGAGGACGATCCAGTGTACGAGGAGATCGAGCGGGGAAGCGGTGGTGGCGGCGGCGGCGGCGGCGGTGGCGGCGGCGGCGGCGGCGGTGGTGTCGGCGGAGGTATCATCGGCGGTGGTATCGGTGGCGTCGTTGGCGCCGGCGAGATCCAAGTGTCGGATATGTCCGACGAGGACGGCCGGCGGCAGAGTGACATGAGCAGGCAGTCCTCCAGGAGCTACGGCGACCACCGGCCGCTGATACCGTATTCACCCGCTGCCGACCGCAACTTGGCGCACTACGGCCAGGCGATGACGGAACGCGGCAACGGGGGAGCAGGCGGTAACCTCGCGCACTACGACACGACGGAATACGGTCCGGCGATGGAACGGACCCTGAACGCCTGTTGGGAAAAGCTGCGCCGGCAGCAGGCTAGGTACGAGCTCGGCGACCTGCCGCGGCTACCGGCGGCATACGGCATGCCGCCGCAGCAGGACCACACGCGGACGGTGGCCGTGTTGGACGGTCACACCGTCGTCTGCCACCTGCAGCCGCAGACGGACATGTACACGGGTCGCGGTATGCCGCCGCCGTCCTACAGCGAGTGTTAGGTCCGCCCGGTTCCACGACTCGGCGACCTGAGGGAGACATTCCCTCCTCGACCTGCCGCGCAGGAACGATGACGGACGTTCTTCCGGGGAGACGGGGCCGATCAGCCGGATCGGCGCGCAGCTATCGCGATCTGTCCGGATGGCTCGTCTTGTCCGGGGACATGTGGTGACGGTGTGGGGGTGACGGTGGTGGTGACGGTGATGATGACGATTCGTTCCTGAGAAGAAGCGCGTGTTTAGTCGACGATTAGTCCCCCTCGACGGTGGGGGCTCATAAAAGGGGGTCTCCTGCGTGAGACGGACGTGTGCCGCTTTTTAGCTCAAACGTAAGCGCGACGGTGCGTCATGGCCGAGGCTCGCGCGGAGGTTCGTCGCGTTTTAGCCATAAATCGACTCGTATCGCGAGCGCTCTACCAGAACGCCGCCCTTGGCATCCGTTGCAGCCGGGTGCAATACGGTCGGACGTCTCCTCGCGATCAGCAGCGAGACAGAGGGGATGCTGAAGAGCACAGATGCTGAGAGAGTGAGCGAGAGAAAGGTTGGAATGAGTGTGAGGTCGAGACGGGCGTCCAACTAGACTGCCACGTCGTCCAACGGACGCCCGCGTCTCTTAGGATTTACCTAAGTGTGCATGCGTGGGGTGTGTGAGTGCGTGAGAAAACCACTGCGACGCGGACTTTGTATAACAGGACTGTAGCGGACCTCTCGTTTAGGCTAAGTCGACGACGACGATGACCACGACGACAACGACGATGACGATGACGACGACGACGACGACGACGACGTGTGCCCGTTCGTGGCCGGGCGTTTGGAATTGGCGAATCGAGTGCGCGAGCAAAGACCAGAACGTGACGAGTCCTTATGGACGGGAGCTTTCCGGAGTCCGCAGCGACGCGAAAATCGGCTTCGAGAATTGCGAGGCAACGGAAAGGAAACAGCAGAAAATTTGTCCCGAATGTGATCGCACGCTTTGAGACAGTGATTTTATGAGCTTCGCACGAGCGTAATGAACCAAAGTTTTACTAACATGATATGTTGAAAATAGCTCGTGGAAATTTTTGCAAAATATTTCTTGTCAATATTACTCTGTCATATTTTTTAATGCGAATATATATATCTTGTAACACATTGCAAAAGAATTTTATATAATTTGCAAAAGTTGCGCCGTATAAGGTGTTTGGTTTTGAGAGATTCGCTTTAACTTTTTCAATTTACTTTTATATTTTTTTAATAATTAGGTTTCACCTGTATGAATATTATATATTCTCTTTTATTTAATCAATTAATTATTCAAGACAAAAATTACGAAGTCTGATGGAGGTCATTCAGGTGAATGTAAGATAGAAATACCAATTCCCAAACTTAATCCTGGACGTTTTTATTGCTTTGGTCTTTAAATATGAATATTTAACATATTTTTAACACTATATATGTATATATGTGTGTGTGTTTGTACATGTATTTACACATCTACAAGGTGAAGAACATAAATGAAACCATTTCGTAAGGAATCTTAAACTTCGCTTGTTTTCTGGGTTTAGACCACGTCTTTCTTATAGGATTTGGTTCCGACGTTTCATGAACATATTAGTTCATTTCTTCAGGAAGCAGTTTAAAACTGCTATTTTCTGCGAAATGTTTTCTTTTATAAGAAAAGGGATTCTGGTGATTTGAAGTGGGAGATGTAGGAATGAGAATTTGTTTTAATTTTCTCTACAATTCTGGTTATAGAATAAAGATTGATTTCGATTTAATGAACTAAAGGTGATCTTGAAATCCTGAAAACTACAAGCGACAAAAAATTTGACTAATGCATTACATAACTTCCTTCGAGTCATACAATATCCATTTGAATCAGCTTTTGGTAAAATCAATATTTACGGCGTTATCGAAGTAGTTCCAGTTATGGTTGCTTCACTCTGTATATGTTCAATATATGCATATATATTATATGTTGAAACTTTAAATATATTCCCATTTAAAAGTAAAGCAATAAAAGTGTCTAGGATTAGGTGCGTGTCCGTGTGCATATTGGTACTTTTACCTTGTGCGCGCTGCGTCATTCTTTACAAATCACTCGAATCGGTATATTTCCTACGGCGATACATTCTCCAGATCGCATCGAAACCCATCCTCGTGCGCGACGGACTTCGAAGAGGGGAATATCGCGCGAGCATCGTCGATACCTCGGCGCATCCGCTTCCCGGGCCCACGGCCACAGCCGCACGATTGTAACGGGTCAGGGGAGGAGAGGATTACGGAACTCGACAGACCGCGTGTCGTGAGCCGGTATTCAGTGCGACGATAAGTGGCGGATTCAACGGCGGTTCAGCCGTCAAACGCGCGTGTCCGGTGATATTTAGGTGTCGCGTTGACCGTGGTATTAAACGCGCTTCGCCGCACAGCCGAGTGTGAATCCCGCGTAAATTACAATGGCGCGATGTAACCGCCGTGTCGACCGCTCGTTGTGCTGCCCGATCACGGCGAATGTGCGTTTAACGCCACGCTCAATTCCGCATTTGATGGGACACGCTGCGCTGTGGCGGACGAGTCGCTCACGGCTTGCCGCCCCTTACCGGCTCGCTTTCTTTCGGGCCCTGCGTACCTGCGAGTGTTCGGCGGTGCAAAGCTTTCCAGGAACGGGCGGGTCGGCGTGACCACCCTCAACTTAGAAAACAGGCATTGTAACATAGATCTAGACATATCGCCACCGGCCGAATACGCGAATCGCCAACGATACGCCGCTGATTGTCGAGAGGCCGAGGATCGACGTGCCCGATCTTTACGCGGGATCGACGACGGCTCGATAAAGGATAACCGGTATCGTGTGATCTGCGACGAGATAGCCGCGCGGCGACGCTTACCTCGCGCGATGAAAGAAAGGAGCGTTTGGCTGTCGTACGAATGTCTTGTAAGAATTTCTTCGACGACGTTTTTATGTATGAACGGAGATACCTTTTTATTTTGTGACGCGAAGTCGCCTTCAGCCGGAGCAGTCTCGTCACAGGTCGTCACAGATACTCGTTGTTGCTTCAGCACTTCCATAAACGACGTTATTGTCTTCGTCAAGAACGTTATGCAACTTTTTGCTTTTTGTAATAAAAAATTTTGAATTTTTTTTAGATAAAACAAAACGATATTACATTTTTATGTTGTTTTAACATCCGAAATTACTTATTACACAACTCAACATTTTATTTCTTCTCAATATCGAATACGGCTTTCAGCATATGCGTATCGAAACAAGATTCAACGCATTATCAACGTTCTATTTTTCCGCGGTTTTTCGTTTTTGATAATACTATTTATTTTTTGTTAATTTTTTTAACATGTATTACTTATCATTTTTCACACGATGAACCGTAAAACATTGACCTTTAACATCAACTGGAAAAATTGATCAGAATTCGTCATCGCAAATTGATTAGTATCAATATTCAGTTCCATTATTCACCGCATGAATATTCTCTTTAGAAAACAGAACGTCAAAAAAACACGTCTCGATTAATATAGTTTTTACGTAAATTGCAGTTATCCGGTTACACAGCCGCCGTTGCGTTATTCTTTCTGTCTGTTTATTCTGAAGTAACTACCTCTTCTTAGTGTGGCCGGTTCTGCGCAAAGCTTCGTTCTGACATTCGGTTCGCTTCTCGTGTGCGCGTGCTAGCGCTCACCACCGCGAGTCGTGTGTTTCGACGAGCGCGTTCTGGCAGTTGATGGCCGGAAATTAGATTTCCTCCCGTACAAGAAGAACAAAGGAGAAATCGAGGGGCAGTGGCTGAAGCGCCTTTATCAGTCGTGTACTACGGTAGCTCCTTGTCGCGCGCCGCTTTGGAACGTTACGTTTTAGTCCCAAAACGTTATTTTTATAAATAAAAAAAAAAATATATATATATGTATGTACATGTATGTATACAGTAACGATATATTATTATTGTGACGTGTGAAAGAGAGAGAGAGAGAGAGAGAGAGAGAAAGGGAGAAAGAGAGAGAGAGAGAGAAAAACGGCGGGTGGACCCAGGAAATGTATGTGGGCGGGTAAATATTAGTGATACAAGCGGATTTCCCGAGCGACGTGGAAAAATGCGCGAACACTTAGTCACTGTTTTTTACTATTTTTTAAAAACGAAAAATCGTGTATGTACGTGAGAACGCGTGAGCTAAGCTAAGCGTGTAACCGAGGGGATACACCGCGTGCGCGCGCGCTATTTATTTTTTATCATCCCCGAGTGTGTTTTGTATTGCGAGCGAAAACTGTGTCGAGTGGGAGTTCGTCGTTTCCCGACCGTCCCTCATCGGCGATGACGACGACGGAAAACCACGAGGATTCTCGTCGGGCGATGCCTCGACAAAGTGAGAGAAAGGAAGGAAGAGGAGAGGAGTATCGAGAACGGGCTCGATAGTCTTCTCGACGTACCGTGCGCGATACACCGTGGATGAAACTACGTTGAGCCGACTGTTACACTCCCATACGTCTCAAGTCCCATGCCTCTATTTCTTTTTTTTTCTGCGAGCATTTTACTTCTCGTTTGTTGTTCTCTCGTGCGTTTTATTTTGTATTGGCAGTCAGCTCTTAACTTAGAATGAAGTCTACACAGGAAAGGAAGAATTTACACACACTACACGAATTAAGCTATTACGCGAGCAATTCACCACAGTCGATACAATCTTTTTCAATTGTGACATAATATCTTTCGTGATACGAAAAACCGATGTGTTTAAACGTAAAAAAAAGGAAATACAGAAAAGAACTTTTTATATATTTTCAATAATACATTAAAAAAAAGAGTACAACAATATATTTTATAATACAGAAATAATACAGAGATGATACGCGCGAAATTTTCACAGTATCCTCTACTTTTCGATATCTTTGAAGAAAAAATTTCAAGACTTGTTTTTCTTTTAATTGAACCACTGTGTCTTAATTATCAGTTTTTTTTTATTTTGATAGAATACTTTTAATTTTAATAGAACTGTAATATTTTTAATGTGGATAAAATTACCGGCAAGTGCGACAGATTCGACGTATCTTTGTCCACTGCGTCGCGACTTCGTGGTTGCTTAGTTAATTTCTCGCTCACGAGGAACACGCACGTAGGAGAATTGTAATAGTGATAATCGCGTTAAGGGTACCAGAGCTACGTTAAATGTGTAAATGTGTCCCGAGCAGTTTTAAGGCGTGATTGCTCACTTCGGTGTCCATCGACGATGGGGTTTCTCGGCGCATCCCGACACGAAGATTGTCAGCCCGTCGATAATCTTTGCATCCTATGCAAAGATCTTGAGAGCTCTTCGATCGCGCGTCTGACGTCAATTGGAACGACCAAATTGTACATTATCTAACAATTAAGACTGCCAATATCGGTATTTCTTTGTCAGATCCGCCGTGTATCGAGTCGCGATCGCGATCGGAGATCGAGAGAAAGAATGAGCTGCTTCTGGAGTTCAAGATGCGCCACGTCTGATTGATTCGTTAAGCCGGAAGGGAGCTAGCTCATGACGTATCATTTTCTACGGCCGGGGGAAACTGCGCGACGTCTAATTGCCAGATAATTACGAAAGCACTCACATTCCATCCGTTCGACGCGTCATGCGAGACCAGAAATCAAGCGAGAAAGGGAAGCGGGCCCGCCGACGGCCCGGAAGTCGACTAGTGTGTCCCGAAATGAGACGTGAACGCGGGCCGCGTTCTCGGCGCACCTTTGGCGAACGTTTCGACATCGAAGCGCCACGTTTGAGGTCACGTCCGCGATAAGAAGAACCGCGAATTTTCAATCGATAACGACGAGAACGCGGCCGGACGTGTCCTTATTCGAAGTGTCCCGACTCGGCGGCGTCTCGATTGTCCCGACCAAAGTTTTCGCCGTGTGCACGAACACGAGGACACGCGCGAGGCATGCGAGGCGTTATCGTCGCGAAGGACTCCGAATGCGAAAACTGTGTGTGTGTGTACATAATGTAAATAGAGCTTTGTACATGTTGAATGAATACTTGTAAAGTGGAGCGCGCGCGCGAGCGAGCGAACGAGAGAGAGAGAGAGAGAGAGAGAGAGAGAGAGAGAGAGAGAGAGAGAGAGAAACGGAGAGAAAGGGAGAATGTGTGAGCGAGTGAGAGATTGAACGAGAGATCCAAGAAACCGCGAGAGCGAGGACACGCGACACCCTGAAGATGTTGACCGACATGCGGCAAGAAAGCATACGTAGACTAAGCGAGTTTTACTAGTAAGTAGCGAAGCATTACGAGCTATTATTATCGGTGACGCGGCGCGGAGGAAGCGCGAGGCGATCTTAACTTAAGTCCCACGACGTATTAGTTAATGTGTAAATAAACTAAGCAAAGGAAGTAAAATATTAAAGAGCCCAAGTAATCGTTGGATATTTATAACGAACTCCACTAAAAGTAGGTCGAACGGCGGAGGAGAAGAGTAAACGAGGCGACGCGCGGCGGCGGCTCGGGGATCAGCGGCGCCCGTCGAGTCCATCTCGAATGCGAAAATTATATTTAAAGCGATCCTTCGCTCCTCGTTTGGGGAATCCGCTTTAAATATAAAATTATACTTAGGACGACCCATTTCTAAAGCTTGTTTCGAGTATGAGATTACACCCAAAGTGAACTCTCTCACTTTATTCTGGCTCGAGTGTCCGATTATATTTCAAGCGAATCCTAAGACAGGATCGCTAGGGATGTAATTTTACCGGTTTAAAAACTGATGAACCTGCCTATACCTGCTGGACTCGGCGTGTTCGCGTGATCTCGGCGTGCCTCGTGTAAAAATTGAACGGGTAGGTGGTGGAAAAGGAAGAAGAAACACAAAAGAAAAGACAAAACGGAGTCGAGCGTACTCGTCCACATGTATGTGTATCGCTGCGCGAGAAAGAGGGTCAAAGGACGAAGGGAGCACGCGCGGTGTGCGGACACGTTGACCGGACACGAGCAGACAATGTACAGTGCATGTTTTATCCTTAGCCGTTTTATAAATGTAAATATCTTCCGCCCCGACCACTCCTTTCATCCCTTCTTCTTATCCTCGCCCGCTTTCCCAGCGGTGAGAAACAGGCGCGAGATTAATTGACTGTCGCAACCTGAGATGTTCCTTCTTTCCTTTTCGTCGTGACAATCCTTTACTTTCCACTTACCTTTCCGCCTGCCCCGTCATTACCACTCCCTCCCCTTCTCTGTCCTGCCTTCCTCTTCCTCTCCCCTTCCGTCCTCGAATCCTTCACCTTACCATTTTTCTCTCTCCGCGAATCTCCCATCTTCGTCCCGCGAGATACTTAGCGGATAAGCTTTCGTTCCGGAAGATGGAATGCGAATCGAGCGGAGCTAGGAAACGAAATAACGAAAGAAAAGGAAAATCATCCCCCGTCAAATTACCGCCACCCTTCGGAGCCGGTTCGAGACGTTTCGAGAGACCCCTCCACACCCCCGAGGCAACATTTGCGTCCTGTATATATACTGTGATTTGCTATAAGAGAGAAGGGAATAGGATCGCGAGAGGAGAAGGTGCGGTACGAGTTACTTTACGCGGGAAACCTTTATTCACACACCTATTTTTTCTATGACGTTGCGAGCCCCGTACGGGGGGCGATCATCGAAATGACGGCAAAGGCGCGTCGATCGCGCGTAGTAATGTGAATCGACCCTTCGGCCTCACCGTCGGCATCTCCGAACGTCGCAGCCGATGCACTCGAGATACTGATTGTAACATGTAGTTTAGTTAACAACAATAGTCATACTGCGCTATACATACGTATGAGGTGGCTGCGCTACATAGCATAGTCGATAAAGACAGTCGCGGACGGAATATGGCGCGAGTGTCTCTTCGACGAGACCAATGCGACTGCAATTACAGAGGCTGCTCAGACACTCGGAGGCGTCGACAGAAAGCAAAGGGCTGAGAAACCGCTCCCGTTCATCTCCTTCTCCCCAAACCGTCGTATCTCTCGAATCGGAAGCCGCGACATCGCAGACCTTACAGTCCACGCGACATCGCATAGAATTCGTACGATTCTGTGATCTTACCTCTTACGTTTCTCCTTCGCGATGTAAGCAATACTTAATCTCTGGAACGCTAAGTTCGCGCGCACAAGATCGAGATCTTTCGTCTTGTTCATTGGTATTTTCCTTATGGATATTGTAAGTAAGGGTGATATCAATAAGTGACGATCGTGTGTTGTAACATTACGTTTCTTTTATTTTATTTTTTTTCTTCTTTCGTTAGACCATACTTCGTAACGTTTAGGCGTGAAAAAGCATACTTGAACGCCCTGCGGCATATCGTAATTCACGCTCGCAACTATACGGAATTTTATTTATTGCGAGGCTAACAATTAAATTACACAACGATCATGACGATTAATTCTTTGTTTCCAAAACATTTTAAGTAGTTTATCTTTATTTTTTTGTAGCTTTCAAAAGAATTCGTCATATCGTGTGCCGCAAGGTGTTGTTGATTACCGGTTATGTTGCGTTAGCGTTCTAGGGTTTAAGAGGCTCGTCCAGCACGCATACACCGTAACAGTAAGCGCATGAATTTTCTGTACTACGTCGCCTGCCTGCGCACGCTGAAAAGAAAGTTTAACGAAGCAGAAGAGAAAGGGTAAAGGGTAGAGGACGAAGAAGAATGTAAAGCCTAGGTATCTCCGAACTAATAAGAGCCTCCGTTTATTGATTTTTGTATGCTTCTTTAAAACTGTCTGATACAAGAAAAAACAAAGGATAAATAAATGTGTACCAATCTCTGAATAAAATGCGTGTATGTTTCTCATCCGTCCTTAACCATAGATACGGACATAATTTGTTGGAAAACTTTGCTAATTAAAAAATTTATCGATTTGATACAACCGTATTCTTGTTGAGAATTTTCTTCTTAGCAAATCCACGAAAACAGGATATTCTACAAAAAATTAAAAAATAACAGAAAAATATATATTGCTTTCTGTATATTCATTTGTTACTTATTTCAAGTGTTTCATAAGTTTATATATCCACAAACCTATCATAAGTTCATCGTAAGTATCAAATTTATTCAAAATACATTCTGAATTTTACTAATTTTAGCATTTCAATCAAGAATATAAAATTAAAATATTTTGGTTTGCTTACTACATAAAATCGAACCAACTCTTTCCTCGATAGATTTCGATAAAGAGATTTTGATTTTCGTAAAGAGAGAAAATAAATTTTTTTGAGCATAATAAAATCTCTTTCAAATTTGTAAGGAATATATTTTAATATTATATTATCAAGAAAATATTCTTTATTAAAGATAATCATTATTTAAAAAAAGGAAAGTGAACTGAGTAATTTGTTTTTTTCTTAGCAATAGAATCATATTTTTCTATATGCAGTATATAAAATACAGAAAGATAAATTCAGTTTTAAGGGACACGCGCGTGATAAATATGAAGGTTAAAATAAAATTAGAATATCGCTTTGCATCGCCCATTATATGACATTTGTTGTGGTTACGGGAGAGATCACGAGATATCTCGCTAATGTAATAAAAACAATATTTGTTATAGATATAAGCTTTATTACTTTGCGCCACTTTTCGTCAGTATATCGATAACGTCACTGTGATTACTCCTTCGAGCTGCCATTAACGGAGTGATGCCGAAAGAAGCTTCGCGATTCACGTCAATCAAATTGTGCTCCAAAATGTATTCAACAGCTTTCGCGTTGCCAGTTAACGCGGCTACGTGCAGAACAGTTTGACCGACATTGTCTACGAGACTGACATCGGAGCCCAGATGTACGATGCGTCTCGCTGCGTTCACGTTGCCGCTTTTCATCGCTTCGTGAAGCGGCGAGGAACCCGCGGAGTCCTGTGAGTTTAGCAGACTCGGTCTCAACACGACGAGGGAGTTAATTACTCTCTCATGACCGTGAAATGCTGTAGAAATTAAAAATGGAAATAAGTTACAGATTACAAATACAAAAAGACATTCAAATGGTTTGAAAACGACTTATAAATAGTTTTATCCCTCTGTTTGTATTTGTTTGTTTTCAGTATGAATATTTTAAAAGATTTTACCGTGATATATAGAATTGCTTTTATTTAGCTGCCGTAAGATGAGGTTACTTTGTGACACAGTGAATATTGGTCAATAGTGATAATTATCACTATTGCGGCTTTTTTCATGTTGTTTGCGCCTGTCAAACTATCAGGCAAATAGCTGTCAACGCGTAGGTTAGATCGCGAAGAAAAAATATAGAAGAGATATGTCTCTCTCTATCTCTGCCTGTCTCTCCCTGTCTCTTCCTAGTTATCCCTGTTACTCCCCGTCTCTCCTTGTCTCTCCCCGTCTCTCCCCGTCTCTCCCTGTCTCTCCTTGTTTCTCCCTGTCTCTCCCTGTCTCTCCCTGTCCCTCCCTATCTCTCCCTGTCCCTGCCTGTCTCTCCCTGTCTCTCCCTGTCTCTCCCTTTCTCTCTTGGTCTCTCCCTGTCTTTCCCTGTCTCTCCCTATCCCTTCTTCTTCTTTATTCTGCTAATCCCCTAATTTCCTGATTATTTTGTTGCATTATTTCATTACTATTACGCATTCTATAACTTTCTTTTTTTTAACTTCTTTACGCATCCTCTTTCTTGTTTTCTAGGTTTTTTACTATCTTATCCTTTTATTGATTCCCCTTTTATTCCTGTCTCTCTCTGTCTCTCCCTGTCTTTCCCTGTCTCTCCTTGTCTCTGTCTGTCCCTCATTCTCTCCCCCCCCCTCTCTCTCTCTCTCTCTCTCTCTCTCTCTCTCTCTCTCTCTCTCTCTCTCT